AGCAAAGCAGAGCATAGCATAGCATAGCACAGCAGCAAAGCAAAGGCAAAGCAACTGCAGCGAGGGTCTGCCTAGAGGGTTAGCTTAGCTCAGCGTTGCTTAGCATAGCGCTGCGCTGCATTAGCATAGCATAGCATAGCATAACATAGCCAATCATATCATAGCAGAGCATAACATAGCGCAGCATATCATAGCATAGCATATCATAGCATTCTGCAGCTTAGTATAGCATAGCATAGACTAGCATAGCACTGCGAAGCATGGCGTATCAGAGCTTAGCATAGCATATACTAGCATAGCATAGCCTAGCACATCATTGCATACCATAGCATAGCATAGCACATCATAGCGCATACTAGCATGGCATAGCATAGCATACCATAGCATAGCAACTAATGCTGTTTTCCTAGGGGCTCCAACTTCTAGGTAGAGTCGCACTGGGGTAATTTTTTATGAGAGAAATGAGAATCTTCGTGGTGCAATCCATGCGACGGCGACGGCGGCGACGGGCGGCACCGCCCGCAAAAGCCGCCACTCGCCCCGAACGGCGGCGACGGCGTCGGCGACGGCGGCGACTGGCGGCACCGCCCGCAAAAACCGCCATTCACCCCGAGACGGTTAAGCCAAGTAAGAACCCCTAAATGCAAACATTGTTTGGGGAACAGCACAAAACAACAATTGAGCTCGAAAACGGCCCGAGAGCACATTAGGTCCACAGAGGTAATACGTATGGTTCTGCAACGCGGGCGGTCCAAACGGGGAATCCACTGCATTCGGACAGCGGACGGTCCAAACGGGCAAGACGCATGGTCCTGAAGAGCGGGCGGTCCAAACGGTGAAAACACACGGTTTACGCACACTCTCTTTGTGGCAGATCCGAGCACAGATGGACGGTCCAAGTTGCGAAAACGCATCGTTCGGACAACGGGCGGTCCAGACAGGGAAAACACGTGATTCTGGAAAGTGGGTGGCCCAAAGGGGAGAGCAAACCATTCGGACAGTGGCTTGTCCAAACGGTCCAAGAGCACCATCGAGATAGTCGACCATGGTGGTTTCTCTGGGGACCTTCTTAATTAAGCGAGCAATATCAATCATTGCATATTTTAAATTATGTTTCGATCATCGTGTTGCAATCTCTCTTAAACCGTTTAAGACGGCTCAAGGAGGCCCGAGGACATCCCGAGAGTCTCCCAAGACGGCCCAAGGGGACCCCAAGATCTCCCTAGGATGCACCAACGGCGATGGGGAGAGAGGACATAGTAGGAGGAAGAACGAACAAGCCAGCGAGGTCGTGCTATCATAAAGTATGTGAATTCTGCTGCGCTGTGCGTCCCAAGCAGGTCCAGTGGCCTTGGGCCAATCCGGCCTCCGTGCCAAAGTCGTGGATGCCTGTCGTGGTTTCTTGGGATGCCCCCCGGTTGCGTCTTGGGATGATACCTTTGCGTCGATCGTTCGTGCCTGGGTCGTGGGTCCGAGGCCCTCGCGGGAGCCTCACGGGGTGCTCCCCGCTAAAACGATGATTGGAAGCATCTTGGAGGCTTGTTTGGGGCCTCTTGGAGGCCCCTTGGGGGGCCTTTTTTGATGCCTTTGTGCTCCTTTTGGGGGGGCCTCTTGGGGTCATCTTGGTGCCTCTTGGGAGGGCCTTTGGGCCCTCTCAGGGACTTTTTTCGCGGGCTCTGAGGCTATCTTAGCCCCAGGGAGGGCGCCTTCGCTTTCTCCCGCGGGACCTTCTCTTCGGCCTCTCTTGGGGCCATCTTGGGCCGCTGTCTTGGGGGCATCTGGGGCGCTCTCGGGGCCCTCTTGGGCAGTCTGGGTGCCCTCTTTGGGGCGCCTCGGGCCGTCTTGGGGTGATTTTGAAGGCCTCCTGTGCCGACTTGGAGCGTCGAAGACTCCAGCAAGGGGAGAACGCGAACATCCGTGAAAAACGCACCGCACATAAATTATTCGGAGCCTTCTTGAGGGGCCTATTGGAGCCCTCTTGAAGCCCTCTTCGGGTGTCTTCGGGGGCCTCTTGAGCCGTCTGGAGACCCTCCTGGTCGTCTTAGAGCGATCTTCGGGCGATTCGGGGCTATGGTGGTGGTTTCTCTGGGGACCTTCTTAATTAAGCGAACAATATCAATCATTGCATATTTTAAATTATGTTTCGATCATCGTGTTGCAATCTCTCTTAAACCGTTTAAAACGGCTCAAGGAGGCCCGAGGACATCCCGAGAGTCTCCCAAGACGGCCCAAGGGGACCCCAAGATCTCCCTAGGATGCACCAACGGCGATGGGGAAAGAGGACATAGTAGGAGGAAGAACGAACAAGCCAGCGAGGTCGTAGAGCGATCTTCGGGCGATTCGGGGCGCTCTTGGAACGTCTCGGGGGCCTCTTGGGTTCCTCTTTGGCCGTCTTGGGCCATTCGTAGCTCCGAGACCCAGCAGGGAGCGCCTGGCAGCGCCCAAGAGAGACCCGAACCTTCGGCTGTGGCCCCCTGAAAGAATCCCCAGGACGGAGGACGCGTCCTGACTGACTGACTGACTGCGGCCTTGCATCCCTTACAGACGCGTAGGCGTATTAAAAAGTTCAGCATTCATGCGTGACGTCACAAGACAGCTATGCTTCGATACACAGGGGCTGCCCATTGCTGTCTGGGGCGCCCTTGGCGTCCAGGGTTGTGGAACCCCAGGACGGAGGGCGCGTCCTGGGCCCCGGAGCCTGGGCTGCGGGGCGGAGGCCTGCCTGACCGGCTGTTTGCGGCCAGGCTTGGCCGCGGCGGCCTCTCGCGGCCTGACTATTTAATTGATTAAGGGCTACGCGCCACTGGCGCGCCGGCAGAGGCAAGGCCACCAGCACGCCTACCTTTTTGCAGCCTCTACCTGAGGACGCATCAGGGCATCGTGTCGTACATCCTTTTTTTTCCGAAAAAATCGACCCCCCCACCCAGCCGAGCTCGGACTGATCAGTTCACCTTTCCGTATTGCCTTTTGCAGATGGCTCTGCCTCATCGTTCAGTGCCCCATGGAATCAGGTTATCGAAGGGAATATGGAATCGCCCCCCATCATTTCAAACAAGCCATGTTAGACATGCGCGTTCGTTCATTTCAAACTATCAGATTGCAGCGTTCGCTTCTACAGAGAATCGCAGAAACCGCACGCGAGTGCATGACCGCGCTGGACATCCACGGCATGTCGAGCATACGTTAGCACACATTAGTTATCCATGCATTCCAGCAGAAGAGACATTGACAAACCCAAATACGCTTCAACAGAAATGTATGCACGCCAGCCGCATCCCGCGACACCATGTCTCCCACAATTTACTTTCGATACGTCTGTGATCAGGCCCTTCTGGCCGAAGCGCTGGCCGGCGGCGCCCCGCTACCCCGCACGCAGTCCTGACGGACCTCATCCGCCGCGGCTCTCTCCAGGCAGCGCAGGCCCGCGCCTTGCAGCCATGGGCGGCGACGAGAAAGTCAAGGTGACTGTGGACATGTGCTACACCTGCTCTTTTGTGCCGAAGGTGAACTTGTTCATCGACAAGCTGAAGGAGACGTATGGTGATAAGGTAGACGTCACGAAGACCGAGGCCAAGGAGAAGGGCGAGTGTTTCATTACAGTCGGGGGCGAGACGCTTCTTGAGAAGCAAGGAGGCGGCGGCAAGGGAGATGGGAAGGACAAGGACAAGGACAAAGACAAGGACAAGGACAAGGGTAAGGGCAAGGACAAGGACAAGGACAAAGACAAAGGCAAGGGCAAGGACAAGGACAAGGACAAAGACAAGGACAAGGACAAAGGCAAGGGCAAGGACAAGGGCAAGCCGCCTGGGTTCGGGCGCCCTCTGCCCGAGGAATTGCGGGACGTTTTCGCGAAGGTGGGCGAGAAGGTCGGTGTCGATGCCCCCATGGACGCGTTGTCGGAGCTGGACAAGCTGCACGAAGAGCAGCTATCCTCGGGCCCTTCGCCGCCGCCGGAGGACGACTGGGGCTGGGATGACAAGGGCGGCTGGGACGACAAGGGCGGCTGGGACGACAAGGGCGGCTGGGACGACAAGGGCGGCTGGGACGAGGATTCGGGGCAACGTATGGGGGGGGGAATAAGTTCAGGTGGCAGCGCATCGACCCCCAACCATTTATTTATCGCCAATAGCGGCCCGCCCAGGAACGTGTGATCGTTTTGGGGGGCCCATCGCCGATCTATCGGCGAATATCGCCGATTCCAGTTCGATGCCCCACCCACCCCTGAGCCGGGGGTGTGACGTTGCCCCCTCCCCCAGGGGTGGGACGAGAGCTGGGACGAATGGGGCGAGCAGTCCAAGCAAGGGGTCCCTTGGGTCGCCGTCGGCAGCATCCTGGTGGTCGTGCTGGCCGCGGTGGCCATGTACGTGAAGGGCATGGACTAGCAGCGGCACGGCGCACGGACCGCCGCCGGCGCTTCGAGAAGCAGGTGCCCCGTCTCTGACTTGCGCCTGTTGTCCAACGCTACAGTGGAAGCCCATGCCGAGAAACACCCTGCTTGCCTCCAGTGTGCCCTGGGTTTCTTGGGTTTCGATGCTTTTGCGATGGAAAGCGTGACGTTCCCACACCAAAAATCCATGGAGGTCCTTGGGTCTCAGGGTTGGATTTCTTGTGGAAGGTTTCTTGTGGACTGGCCTCCATTGTACACCTGCGGGTACAATCGGCGCCGGGATCTCGCACACCCCTGCTGGTGTCCACTCTGTTTGCAGACATGACCCAGCTTCTGAACCCCAGCTAGTTTTCAGAAGTCCGACCTGCAGGTGTCGGATTCACACGTGGTTGCCTACTAACCTAAGATCCGACGTTGCGAACAAAAACACATCGCGAACAATAGCGACCAGAACATTATTTACCATGGTCTGCTGCATTTTCCGAACCTGGTCGATCTGAGGTGGGCCCCGGGCCCGAAAATGGCCAACACATTTGGTGTGAAACAAATCCAACGCCCAGATCTTAGGGGTTGGTGTCGCCATTGTATCACAGTCCTTTGGGATAGAGGGGGCATTGTGATCGAAAAACGAACGCCATGAACATAATTTCTTTGAGCTTCGCGCGGGTTATTTGGATCGTCGCTGGGTTTCCTTGACGGCGCCGAGCCAGGGTGGGTCCAGCGCCGATCCGATAGATCCGTGCGGACCTCTGAGAAATTATGTTTATGAGTTGTGTTGCTCCTCTATGTCAGCCCCTCGCCCGCGGCAGCCGGTGTGGCCAACCTCGCCGCAGTCTGCCAGCACCATTTGGCCCGCCGGTAGAAGCAGCGCCGAGCCTCGGCTGAGCAGTTGCGCCGCGCCGCTGGTCGTCGGCGCTGGCGCCGCCTCGAAGGAAGAGGCGCGATGGCCATGACCAAAAAACTCCATGACTATGACCAACCCGGTCATGCTCACGCCCTAAGGAAAAAACGCTACGTGAGGTTTTATGGCAGTTCTCGAACTGCAGTGTCTCTCGCCGCGCGTCGGGGCCTTCAAACGACGACTCGGGATGAAAAACAAGTCCCGGGGATGTGGTCTAGACCTTCGGGGGCCATGTCATGAAACAATCTCGACGTCATTGTTCTGGGGTCTTGTCGACGCCGACCTTGGCCATGGTCCACGCCTGCCGTCGCCGATTAAGGAGCATGCTTCGCGAATCGACCAAGATCGGAACCGACGTTTCCGCGTTCAGTCTTGATCATGGCCATCGTGTTCTTTCCCTCCACTTCCTGGCGCACACGCGCGGGGTGGCGGAGGGCGAACCTCTGGAGGCCTCGGCGAGCTTTGCTTTTCACCGTGCTGCGAAACGATTGGCCTGCGTTCGTTGTGTCTGGCGGGCGCGGCCTCAGGTTTGGCACTTCTCTGGGGGATCGTATGCAGCAGGAGGCCCAGCGCAGCCCAATCGTAAGTGTTGAGCAGCGCGGCTTTAGCCCCGCGACTGTTTTTTCGAGTGCATGTTGTGTGCCAGTATAGAAGTAGTAGTAGGGCTACCATTCGCAACTTTCACCAGACTGGCATCCCGAATCAGCATGTGCATTCCATAGGGTACACTATCCAAGTTGCGTCCCAAAGCATGCGCTCCGTAAGCCTCATGATGATGACTGTTGGATGGCTTAGGGTTGACGTGTTGGTATTTTGACACATTGTATTGCTGTTGACAGCAGTGGAGTTTTTGCTTGAAGACATTGACCACTTCACGATTACTTGATGAGTTTAAGTGGAGTAGGATGCTGGGGATGACGATTGGGAGAGGTGAGCAGGATGAGGTCAAGCAGAATGGGAGTGGGAAGACTGAAGACACGAGCTTTAGACATGACATAGACATATTGTAGAGGCTTCTGGCCTGTGCCTCCGGGACGTTAAGAGATTGTGAGCTTTACCTCGACGAGGCAGGAGGGAGGATGCGTAGAAGTAGGATGAGGGGGAACAGGAGGAAGAGGTGGGGTAGGAGGGTGTTGGCAGTCGCCTCAGGCGTATGTTGGATGGAATGTGTGGCTCGTGTCCGTCCGTCGAGCTCGCTGGCGGGCTAGTTCCCGGACGGGTTGGCTCGTTGATGGGCGGTTGGGCGGGTCGCAGGGTGGCTATGTCACAGTCTATTGTTCCTTCCTGTCATGTCCATCTTCTTTTATCGAAGACGCCTACGGCGAATCACCGCCGCCCAATGCCTTTTTGGAAGCGCCTATGTGGCCGAACGTTGAGGCCAGACCTGCCAAGCTATCGGACCACGTGTTCCCCGAATCGGTTTGGAAAGCCTTCGGGGAACACGTGGGCATCTTGAAGGTCATCTTGGCCGTCTTGGAGGCCTCTTGGGCAAGCTTTGGGCGATCTTTGGGGCTTTTTGGGCCGTCTCGGGCCAGCTTCGAGCCAACTTCGGCCATCTTGGTGGGTTCCTGGCACGTCTGAAGCCGTCGGAAGCCGTTTGGGGGGCCTCTATGGGCCGACTTGGGGCCCGCTTGGAATGCTCCAGGGCCGTCTTGGAGGCCATCTTGGGCGTCTGGGAGGCCATCTTGGGCGTGTTGGAGGCCTCTTGGGCCCTCTTGGGGCCCTCTAGGGGCCATCTTGGAGGCCACTTGGGCCATCATGGGGCTCTCTTGGGGGCCTCTTGGGCGATCTTGGGGGCTTCTTGGGCCGTCTCGAGCCGTCGGAGAGCCGAAAAGGCGCAAATGCCAGAATCCTTCAAAAACCAAGGACAAATCAATGATTTTGGCCTCTTCGGACTCTCCTGGAGGACCTCTTGGAGGCCTCTTGGGCCGTCTGGGAGGCCTCTGGGGGGCCTCTTGGGCCGTCTTGGGCCGTCTTGGACTCTCTTGGGCCGTTTTGGAGGCCGTCTTGGACCATCTCGGGCGGACTTGGAGGCCATCTTGGGCCATCTTCGCGATTGTTTGAGGATGTCCCGAGCGAAACGGCCGTTTTTTGGAGGATTGTTTTCCGGATTGAGGTCCTTTCGGCTTCCTCCCGGGACCCCGGCGGGACGTGCCGGAGCCCACTGGGGGAGTTCTTTTGGAAAAAGAACCAAAACCAAAACCTGAAACATCCAGCACGCCGTGCACCCCTGCAAGCAGGGGGCGGCGGATCTGGTGGCCTTCGACCCATCCCGCCACCGTGCCTGGGTTGAGGGTTCTAGGCTTTTTTGAGGTTCGTTCGGATCTGGTCGGAAGCTTTTTGGGGGCCTCTTTGAGGCGGTTGTGGAGAACCTTGGGGGCCGCTTGAGGGCCTCTTGGGGCCTTTTGGGGGCCCCTTGGGGCTTTTTGGGGGCCTCTTTGGGCCTCCTGGGGGCCTCTGAAAGTTCCCCCTCCTACGTAGGGCCGGCCGTCTTGGGACCCTCATGGGCCAGCTTGGGCGCCTCTTCGGCTGTTTCGGGCCCTCTTGGATTGCATTTGGGCGGTCTTGCGGGCCTCTTGGGCCGTCTTGGGGCGCTCTTGGGGTCCTCTCGTAGCGCTTTGGGGACCTCTTGGGGGCCTCTTGGGGCCATCTTGGGCGTGAAGTAGCTTTTGGTGGCCGTCATGGCGGCCTTGGCGGCGTTGCCGCCCCCCCTTCCCTGGCTAAACCGCCTCCGCACCCTTCCTCCTGCGGCGCGGGAGCGGCCCTGGAAACGGAAGACACCCCTCCTCCCCCTTTTTCTCGGCAGAGTCACCCTGGCCATCCCTCCAGCAGAGCTGACGCTCAGGTTGCCGCCTTTTCAAACTCACACGCCGAATCGGCGGATCTCCGTTTGAACACCTCACATTCGAATACGGGCCGGCTTTGCAAAGATCGACCGATCGACATGACAGCATAGTTGTGTCTTGACTCTCCTTGGCGTGCAGTAGCATAACGTAAACGAACAGATGATGTCCACGCGCGGGCTTCAAGCAATAACCATAGGTAACGTGTAAGCAGTGTACCAACCGTAGAAGCACCAACCGTAGGGCACGAAGCATACGTCACAAACCATAGGGCACCATGAGGCACCAATCGCAGGGCACAAACCATAAGGAAGCAGCCATAGGACATCGACCACAGGGCAGCGACCATAGGGCAACGACCATCTGACACCGACCATGGTGTATCAGCCATAGACCAGCAGCCGCACGGAGTTCCCATAGGGCAGCATAGGGCACCAATCAATCACATGGCACCAACCACATCGCAACATGAGGCACCAGCCATTGGCCACTGGACCCTGAGATCCAACGTTAAGAAAATGTGCAACATCGCGAGAAATCACGACCAGAGTTTTAGTCCCCAACATTTTTCGAGCCAGCTTCAAGACTCATCAAAATGAGGGGTGAAACTATTTGGTGCTGAAGTTGAAACATTGCACTGCCCGGGTCGCAGGAACAATCCGAAAGGAGGAAACCCTCGCGCACCATGCGGCATCAGACGGGAAAGGGGGTCACAGAGCACCGAGCGGGAACAGAGCATTGAGCGCACCGAGACCCGACCCGCAAGACAGGGCTGAGCCCTCACAACCCTCGGCCATCGCCAGGTGTTTGCGGGGTTTTACGCCCCGGGTCACGTTTAAGGGGCCTCGCGTTGTTGTGCTTTCGTTGTCGAGGGAAAAAACACAAGAAGAATCCCTGGAGGGTCCCAGTGCTGCACGAGCGGTGTGCCTTTATTCGCCCCCCTCCCTGAATTTCCCCCCCCCCCAACGCCCGATCCCCTTTTCTCCCCTCTCCGGGCGGGCCTTGGACAGGATCCTCCCCTCTCCTCTCTCCTCTCCTCTCCTCCTCTCTCCTCCCCTCTCCCTCCCCCCCAACGCCCGATCCCCTCTCCTCCCCTCTCCCGGCGGACCCAGGACAGGGTGTATCGCTCCAGGGCGTTCCCGAACGCTCTCCGCGCGTTCTGGAGAGCTCCGGAAGGGGCGCAGCGCCCGACGTGTCCTCCAGAAGCTGCTGCTCTCAGAGATCCCCGATTCAGCCGCGTCCGATTTTGCCCCTGTCTTGGGTTCGTCTTGTACTTCAGCAACGCCCGAGCCCCGCTCCTCCGCGGACTGAGACTGGGCAGGGGAAGAGCATTGTGTGGGGCCCCCTTGAGTCCATAGATTGCTTCCAGCGGGCAGCACGCTGAGAGTGTAGCAGAATGGAACACCGCAGCCTCATTCGAATTTTTTCTCGAGAGTAGAGCGATGCAGAGCCGGATTCTTCGTGCTGGTAGTCGAGTGTCCGCCCTCAGTTTCAGTATTTATCATTGGCGAGCGCGTGTGCCCAAATAGTTATGTGATTTCCCATATTTCTCTTTGTCTGTCTCCTCTCATCTTTTTTCTTCCCCCCCTCTGCTGGCTCCCCCGCTGTGGCACACTAGGAAGTTGGGTATGTTCCTACAAGTTGCTGCGCACTGTATTGCGATTCCGTGATTGTTTTTCTGTAACATGCTCATGTATATGAATGGTCGGCCAGATCATGTGGGGGACGCACGATGCACACAACGTTTTAACACATCGATCGTGGCCTCGTGTCTGCGCTCTTGTTCTTCTTTCTGCTTCCCTTTCCTTGCTCTCCCCCTTCCTCTCTCCTGAGTTTGACGATGTCCAGACGTGGTGGGCACTTGACCTCAGCTAGGGATGCGCTGCGACTGTGCTCTTCGGTCGCCTCTTCTGCATGAGCGGCACAGCGCTGCATCGTGCCGGCCTTCACCCCTCTCGATTGGGGTTGCGGATTTGTTTCGCGATTTCTTTTCACTTGGTCCGTGATGCGGACGACACGCGCGCGAGCTAACACGGCGTTGATTATTTTTCGGGGGGTGCAAAACAACTACTCTCCTTCTTCCTCCTCCTTTTGCCGTCGCCCACTATGATGCAATTCCGGGAAAACTAAATTCAGAATCGGTGCTGGCACATCCCTGGTCGAAGTCGGGCCTGATTTGGTGCGACTCCATTTTATCTGGCTCAATTCCGTGCCATCCAGCTCGGTCCTACTGCATAATTGCGGTTTGCTTCCGGGCATCATCCAGCCTGATCCAATTCAGTGGCCTCTTGATTTGGTTCACAATCGTGCTGACGATGACATCGAAGGAGTTGCCTCCTAACGCCCCTGAGATCGCCCTGCTCGGTGACGTCGACTTCTTCACGTTCTGCTGCGACGCCGTGCCGCGCGTCCGGGACGAGATCCAGGCGAGCTTTGCTCGGCTACCAGCCAGTTTTCTCCTCTTGCCTCAGGTGTGTTCTAAAGCTCGGGCTTCTTTAGTTTCGTTCGTGTGTCGTTCGTGGAGACTCTTATCCCCTGGCGATGACGGGCGTGATTGAGTGGGCTGGCCACGTCACGATTCGCACCGGCGCCGTCTAGTTCCTAGAAGGCGGTGGCGCGAATCGTTGCCGGTATTTTGGCTTGTTCTTGATGTGCTCAGCTCATCACGGACTGGCGCACTCGATTCGTGTCCAGCTCGGGCTTTCTGGGCTCGATCTCGGCCTCAGGGATCTCGGCCGAGACCGATCTCGGATCTGATGGAACTCGGACCAGGCAAAATGACCACCAATACAGTCTACCCGCATAGTAAGGATGGGCAATGCTGCCAAGGGTACCCTTACATCCTTGCCCCTTCGGCCCACCTTTGGCCCCTTCCGCTGGCCGCGCCCGGCTCGCAGAGTGTCGACATGGCCTTCCAAGGCCCCTGCATCCTTATCGTGCGTCCTTGTCATACGGGCTGACTGTGAGAATCGATCCACCCGGGAGATCGAAGTGGAGCGGACTCATCCAGATGTGGAACCACCGGGCCTCGACCTCGGCGTGTCCCGCTCCCGCCACCCTTCACACAAGAGCCCCTGCAGAAACCGAGTCGGCCCCGCCAAGTTCGGGGATCGGTGGAGCAAAGCAGCAACGACCCGATTTCGGAACCACCTCATCTCTCATCCCGGCGACATTCGCACCCATCGGTTCCGAGCTTGCACTACGAAAACTCGCACACGGCTGAACTCGCACCACGAGACTCGGACCCAGCCACACTCGGACCCGGGCGACCCAGGGCCAAACTCAGACGGGCCATACTCGCACCAGTCGGACTCGCATCGCACTTGGCCAGCCTCGCGCCCGGCCAGATTGGGCCCTGGGCCCTGGCAGCAGCCGGCGATGGGGTTCGAGTTCGGTCGGGAGTGCGAGCTCGGTCGGATGCGAGTTGGACTGGTTCCGCGTTCGGTCCGGGTCCGGGTCAACCTCCTCCTCCTCCTTCGCCTCCTCCTTCACCTCCTCCTCCTTCGCCTCCTCCTCCTCCTCCTTGTCCGGTCGGGTCCGAGTTCGGTCGTGCAAGTTTGGTTTTTGTCCGGGCGCCATCGCGAATAACACACATAAATGGGCTTCTGGCCTCCCCAGCCTCTCCACCTGGGCCGCGGTTCGTTCGTTCGTGTTCTCCCCTCGTTCAAGAGCAAGGGCGCGCGTGCCAGTGTTTTTTTGTTGTGGAGGTTGATTGTTGGGAAGTTCGGAGAGCACCGCCAATCATAGGAGGAAGAGGTACCGAAACCGCTACCCCTTCATCGTCGCCTCGGCTGGATTCGCGTCGACATCCTGGTCAGGACGCACTCCGGGATAGATCTGGGGAGTATCAGTATCGGTGTTAGTTTGGAATCCCAGCCAAGGAAGATGGGCAGTGTTGAGGGAGATGTTCGTTGGACCAGAGTAGGCATGATGGCTTCTGACGTAGTGGAAGGCCGATTGGTGCAGCGGAAGGTGCGTTCTCGACGCTTCGCACGTCCTCACAAGCCCATACAGAAACGATGCCAAGTCGAGTTGCTTTGATCAAGGAAGTGTAGGACCATGGGCTGGAACAAAGAGGGGAGGCGTCGGCCAAACCGCAGCTCGGGGTGAGCCCGAGCAGACCCATGAGCCAACCACATGACCATAGAAAGCCTTCGCGTACCGCTCGGCCCAGGCGTACTCTTGATGGTTTCTTGGGGCGCCTTCGGGACAATGTGGCAAACTATCGGGACTCTCTTAGAACCCTGCTGGGAGCATCGGGGGCCATCCTGGATGGCATCCTTCAAAAGAAATGGGGTCCCTAATTTGCGCTTCCACTCCTGAGCACGTAGCGGTCGGCTCTTGGAGCTCCCGTGGGTCGCTCCCGGGGGGCCTCTGCGGCCGTCTTGGGGCTGCAGCAGTCTTGAGGCCTGGGAGGCCACTGGAAAGCGAGAAGGCGCGGGCGAACTAATTGACTTGCACATCAGGTTATTCCGTGGTTTTGCTTTCTCTCGATGGTACTCTTTGGCGCCAGTTTGGGGCCGTCTCTGAGGCCTCCCGGAGGCATGCTGGAGACGTCTGGAGACCAGACTGAGCCTTTTGATGCCATAGTGCGCCGCGTTAGAGGCAATGTCAGGGCATTTGCTGACGTATTGGTGGCATCGTGGCCTAAGAGCCTCTCAATGATGCCCCCGAGAGGTCAGAACCATTCCAACTCAAATGTTCTTCAATGATTTCGTTTATGCGCGAAGGGGTCCTTCCTTAGCTCGAGCAAACTCCTGTTGGAGCTATGTTTGGACGATCTTGAGTCGCTCGTGGGACTGCCTCAGGGCTCTCGTGGGCAATCTTGGAGCCGTACAGAGGCATCAGAGGCCCACTGGGAGAGAGCATGCGAGAAGGCAAACGTCAGTCAAGCAGGGTCGCTTGGCGGCTGTGTGCCTCCAAATGGGCGATGTTGGGAGGCTCCGTGGCCACTCGGAGCCGTGGTGGGCCATCTCGGTGTCGTCTTGGGCCAATTTGGAACGGATTTCTTACCAATTTGGAGCCCCCATAGTCCAAGAGCTTCCTAAGGATGCTCCTGGAAATTCAAACTCCTTGAAATGCCGATAGGTGTTCGATGAATTCCATGTGCGAATGGGCGGGGTGTTTACTTAGGCCCCCCCATCGGAGCCCGAAACATCGTCCCCTGGGGCCCTCTGGTGACGCTCTTGTGGCGCTTTGGCTGTCGTCTTGGAGCCGTGATGGGTCCCTTTTGGGGCTTTCTTAGCGATCTTGGTGTCACCTTCAGGCCCCATAGTCACACTGGAAGCAAAAAGACGAGACGGACAATAATCATTGACATGCATTGTGTGTTTAAAAGGTTTTTGGTTCTCCGAGGTATGTGGGGGGGGGGTCCGTGGCCTCTTGAAGCTGTCGTGGGGCAGTCTTGAAGCCTCTGGAGGTCATGCTGTAGCTTTGCAGACCCATGACGCTGACTGACGGCATTATCTAGGCTCCTGGCTGACTGCATCCTCCGCGTCATTGCGCGCGTGGCCGCGGCGCCCCCCCCCATGCCACCCCCCGTTTGGCTGCGGAACGACCGTCAACCTACAGTCGGGGCGCTGACGAAGGAACCCTTTTCGATGGGGAGGGGCTGGGTGTTCCTTGATTGTTTTACAGTTTGCCTTGGGTTTTCCTTAGGTTTTGTATGGGAAATCGAAATTTAACTCGTTCCCTATTTAGGGTTCCTTAGGTCAACGCCCCGACTGTAGCGACGACAAGGCGTTTTCTTCGGCATTGTTCGATTCATCAGTTACCTTCCACCGTCCTGGAGCAATTCGTGGCGAAGACCGCCGAATCTTGTCTCATTGCCGGAGGTTGCCCGCGTGTTTGTGATTTTGACCGACGGTTGCAAAGAACCGGGGGAAGTCGGGTAGCCTTGCAAAGGTGGATTGTTTGTGTTCGGCCTGTTTGCTGTTTTGACCATCCTGCAGACCATGCGCCAGGCGTCACTGTTCCCCAACACTTTTCTGGGTCATTGGCGATGGAGTTGTGGTAGAGTGGGGTTCGTGGCGAAACTCACCGTTGATTATGATTAATACGCCGGCGTTTGTTCCATGTTCTGAATGCTATCTGCAATCTGCCACATGCAGTAACCTGAGTACAAGGACCTTATCCTGGTGAGTCAACGCGTATCGATGTCCCTCCCAGTCCTGCGTTTCTTCCTCTTCTCCTTCCCCCCGCCCTCCTCTCTCCTCCATCTCGCCACTCCTCGCGCACTCCTCCGCCCCGTCCGCCTGCTCTGTTCATCCTCATCTGGTCGCGTCCATCTCCTTCTCGCCGCCTTGCCGCCCTCCTACCTCCGCCTCATCCTCTTCCTCCCTTATTCCCCCTCCTCCTTCGCTTATTCTTCGTCACATACGTTCTCTCATGGTTCACCTCTGCCTCGTCCGTTGTCGTCCCCCTCCGTTTCGTCCGTTGTGTGTTTTATTCATATTCACTTTGGTCCTTCCTTTCTTCCGACCTCCTCGTCAACTGCTTTATCCTTCTCCTCATCATCTTTCGTCCTCTTTCTTTTCGCAGCCTGCGTCCTCCCTGATCCTTCGTCCCGTCCTCGTTACCCATCCTCTTCTTCTTCGATTGCCCTTCGTATCCGCCACCTTCCTCCACGTTTGGCAAGCGCCTCTTGCAGGATGCAAGCCCATTTCCAGCAGATGTCGCACATGCAGCAAATTCAAGCCATTCAGCACATGCAACAGAGCATGCAGCCATCAGAAGTTAAAGCCACAGCCTCGCCGCCAGATGCCGCAGACAGCGGCAAACAAAAATACGTCGTCACATGTTCCAAAGATGGCATTGCCCCGTGTGCGTATGACAGAAGCAGTTGAACACGTCACATCGCTTGATGCTGTTACCGTGGCAGACGTGGCCCAATCATAGTTCGCTGTCATCCTTTGGTGTTGCACCGGGGAGAGGCCAAATGTGCAATCTAGTGAGCGCCGTTCAGGCACCTACAGCGGATTCCACAGCTCGTGCAGCGAATGAAGGCGAACGACGAGGCCACGCACTAACGCACCCTTCACTCTGTCCAGAACGCCTCCACCAGCTTCAATGTTTCCGTGATAGAGGAAGCCATCAACCTTTGTTTCGACCCCGCGCACATGGAAGAGCGAAAGAAGAGATACAAAAAACGCGAAGTGGAGGGGACCAAGCAATCGTTGGCTGATTCGTGGAAAAATGCGACGAGGGTAGGACGCGTGAGCCCCTGGAGGTCTGGACCATTTTCGTAGGGCCAGTGTTTCGTCCCCGGTTGTTGTTTGACGGTCTTGGGGCCCGTTGAGACCCCCCAGAGGCCTAACAGGGGCCCGTCTTGGGGCATCCCTGGTGACAGTCAGGCGCTGAGGGCGCTCGATTCTGCGCGAGCGAGGCCTGCTTTCCTGGCAGACGCCTCGGCCGTCACGGTCCTGGACGCCGTCTTCGCGCGTCTGGAGGCGTGGGTGCCCCGTGCCGTGGGTCTGCTCAGTGGGAGGATCACATGACCAACAGTTGGCCGCTCCAGATCGTTCGGGGCATCGGATGTTAAGGGATTCGGCACAACTGTACTTCAGGGGATCGGTCAACGGTCTGTTGCCGAAGAGCCTCTTCTGCAGTAGTGCATCGAGCGTGTTGCGCCCTCCCGGGACCGCGTCGCGGTCACGGTGAAGTATGCGCGGCAGCGCCCAAAGTATGGCGTGGATTGTGGAGTCAAACCCGTTGGCCTTAAGGAAGGAAGCCGTGATGTCGCATGGACGCAAGCTCGGCAACAATTCGTGAGAGTCTTTTATTTCCTTGGGCTTCAGTCTTTGGGATGCACCAGCGCTCACTCGCATCTGGCAGCCTATCATAAATCGCAGATGTACCGCCGATGATGCGCAGATCGGTTTTGCGCCGATTCGCGTCGATCAGCGTCGGCTAGCGTCGTCCCGCAAGAATCAGCAAGCTGGCCTGGGCAGAAGGTGCAAGCACTCCGCTCTACCACCGACCGAGTGAGCCATGGTAAGTCTGTCAAGAGTCGTGCTCGCACCTCACTTTCGGGTGACGCTCACGGCGCTCAGAAGCGGGGCGCGCGAGAGGAAGCCGAGGGGTTGCGTGGGCATCGCTTTGAGGCTCAAGCCCCGTCCGCGCCCGCGAGCTGTGATTACAGCTGAAGTTGTTTAGTAGGTCGACCCTTTCCAAAGCAAGGGTGCTATTGAGTCCTGCGTATGGCGTCACATGTCTGCTGCACGCCTGGGGCAAGGGTACCTTGGGTCAGAGGCCATGCTGCCCTCGGAGAGGTGTTGTACCCTCTTGTGCGCCCTCTCCCATCAAGCTCGACTACTCAGCCGCCGCCTGAAACGGGAGGTGCTGTGTAGTTGCGGGACGCGTACGATTCCGCGCTGCGCGCGCACAGGGTTTGTGGCGCAATGGGTGTCATCCACGTGCTGAGCGTTTGGGCTTGGGGCCAGGTGGCTGGACATGATTATCTTCTCGTCAGATCACGCGCGCCGCCCCAGTGATCCCCGTCCCGATCTCCGCCTCCCGAACATCCGAAGAGGCGTGATCGCCGCCAGTTTTGTCTCTGCCCGTTCAGCTTCTGGGCTGCCACCTCGCCGAGTTGGCCCCCTCTTCATAGGCCGCGTGGGGCCTCCACCCCACGCCGGGTGAGGTCCTAGACGGCTAACTTTTTCTTGGCGGTGGTTTTGGCCTTTCCTGAGGGTGAGCGCCACCCGCCCAATATTGGATTTCTGTAGCTTGATTGCGTTCGTTACCCTGCGGACGCTCTCCAGTCGGCACCCACCCTCCCAGCACTCGCCGCGTGGCGCAGGGACCTCGGCTCTGACCTGGAGACTGCTTCGCTCGTCGTTTCGGGCCTGTCCCCACCGGCGCAGAAGCTTTCTGCCCGCGGGTCCTGCCTAACCCGGCCTGCTGGTTCACAGCCCCGCCAGGCCCTCCCTCCCCGAGGACACCGCGTTTAGGTTCAATCGGTCTGCGAAAGAGTTGTTTTTGGAAACAGGTTCCCGTGTGTTCGTTGACGGCTCCGCTTTGAGTTTTCTTTGCATCGGATTCAGCCTGCGGAATGGGCGGCAGTTGTGACGGACGCGTGGGGGAAGGTTTCTCGTGCGATCACGCGGCGTGTGCCCCGCAGCGTTGCCTCCGACCAGGTTGCTCGTGCTGGTGAGGTTTTCGCCATTGTTTTTCTCGTTCGCCACAAGATGGTCTCTCCTGGAGTCAACCTTCAAATCGATTGCTCTGGTACGGCCGATCTGACCCGCGATCTCTCCTCCGCAGTTTGCCCAGAGAATCCTCGGTCGCACCTGCGGCAGCATATGCACGATTAGTTGGACGGAATTCTGGTCCATGAGGTGCCTGCTCACTGCTCTGAGCGGGACGTATTTGAAGGAACACTGAACCGCCTCCAGATTCTGGACAACCGTGCTGCGGACTCGTATGCGAAAGCGGGTGATGAGCTAGGTACGCCCGCCCCTCAGGACCTCAAGGTTGAGAGGGTGGCACGACATGGCCCGTCTTGTTTCCCATTTCGCGGCCGAGCCGGAGGCTCGGATCGGTGATTCGAAGACGCCCTGGTGGCCTGAGCCTTCCCCTCGGCCCGCTCGGGAGCATTCGACTCTGGAGCTCTGGAGGCCTCTATTTTCGACCCGAAGGGATCGGCCTCTGGCTCGACTGCTCCTCGTGCGGAGCCGTGGGCCGGACTGGAGGCCACCGGGGTAGGTATGTTTCGGAGGTCGATAGACTTCCTACCCTGACACGTCGATTAGCGAATTGGCCGGTTTCGGTTCGCGAGAGGGAGTCGCGGCCGTCATTTCTGCGGGTCCAGGTCCGTCGGTTTCGGTCCCAGGCCGTTTTCATTGAGGGGACGTTTGCGAAAGGGAGGTTTGTCCACCGCCGAATCCTCGCGTCGGATTGTCCGAGTTGTTTCTCTCGGGTCGTGACGGGCACTTGGCTTGGATGTTGTGCGGCCGTCAAGGAGGTCCGTGCCCACAGGCCAGCTGTGTATTTCGGAGGTCTCGAGGGCCGGCCGGCTCCCAAGATGGGGTTGGAACAGCAGCTCGCTTTTGCACGGCCGCTTGCCGAGGGCTTGAGGCCGACGGTTTCTCTTGGCGTGGGGGTGGGCTTGGCCATGGGGGTGGTCTTGTTCGGCTTCCCGGATCGGGCTACGGCCGAGGTCCTCGGCGCCCGTGCTGCCAAGCCGAATTTCGACCCCAGTCTGAGGGGCGGCCTTTGCCATGGCAGCGACCTCTGAGGCCGATGTGCCGCCTTGGTTTGATTCGGTGCATGTCGGAATGCGCTCGCTTTCCCACCGCATGCCAGACACATCCTCCCTCCTGCCTCTCCCCTCCTGCCTCCCTCCTTCCTCAGTTTTCTTCCCTCTTCCGTTACTCCAGATCTCGTAATAAAAGGGAGGGGGTCTGGACCCTCCAAGACAAGCCATTTCAGACCCCCCCCCGTGGGAGAACCTTCCAAAACGTCGTCCCCAGACCCCCCCAGGCCCTCCAAGATAGCCTGGAAGAGACCCCCCCCGAAATGAGACCCCCCTCCCTTTCTTACGAAATCTGGAGTATCCTTCCTTCCTTCGCCTCCCCCCTCACGCCTCGGGCTCGCCCCCTGACCTCGCGGCAGCGCTGCCCCGCCCCGCGTTGGTGCGCCAGGTCATGCGCCGCCCTGGCCTCGAGCAGACCTTCCAGGCGCCTGTGGGGCGCAGGTGTGGGGGAGGGGGGAGGAGGGGCCTGAACGAGGAGGGGGCCACCTTGAAGCCCTTTCCAGGGCCCAGAGAGGCCGTCATCACGACGAAGGGCCTCTGCAGAGAGTCAACTTGGAGTTGGTGGGCGCGGCCGGTCGGATCTCGCGGGGCCTGCCCGGCGCTCCTCCCCTGTTAGGGCCTCTTGGGGCCACCTTGGCGCCCCTTGGTATCGGGGGTTGTGGGGGCCGTGTCGGCGCGTCTTCGGGCCGTCTCGGGGCGTCTCGGAGCCCGCTTGGAGTCGTCTTGGAGCCATCTTGGGCCGCCGGGCGCCTCTTCGGGGGCTCTCTTCTCGGACGCCTCGGGGCTCCCTTGGGGTGTTCTGTGGGCATCTTGGGCCATCCTGGAGCACTCTTGGGCGACTTTTGGGCGCCTCTTGGCGCCCCGTGGATCCCCACGCGCCCATCCAGCAAAGAGTTCCAGGCGAGTTATCGTGAGAGGAGAATGGTTGCGGGGGGGTGAGGGGGTGATTCGAATTCAAAGGGAGGAGGCCAGTCAAACTGAAGCTTGGATCGGTCCGGGCCCCCCCCCCTCTTGCAATGGTCACTTTGGGGGCCTCCCGTAGCCTGTTGAATGTATCTTGGCGCCACCTTTGGAGCCTTTGATGCCCTCTTGCTGCTCTTTGGTGGCCCTTGTGTGCGACCCTTGTGGGGCTGTTGGAGTCATCCTGGAGCCCATCTGCGACAATATGGGTGGTCCTCGCTTCCCGCCCCCATGGTGCCAAACGAGTCGCCTCTTGGGGCTCTCTTGGGTGCTCTTGCGAGTCTTCTGGCCCCTGGGGGCCCTCTCGGAGGTGGCCATCTTGGGGCCACCCCAAGGCTTCAAAAACAGCTCGGAAGCGAAACACCGAGAGGACACGTCACAAAAAAGCGCGCTGTGTCAGAATGATGTTGGCCCATGCGGAAATTCCATTGGCAACTCGACTTTTTGTTGTGGGGGTCTCCGGTGCTCATTGAAGCATGTTGGAGGCCACCTTGAGTCAATTCGGAACATTTGTGAGGTCATCTTAAGCTCTTTGGGGTCATCTTGGAGCTGTGTTGGACGCTCTATCCGCTCGCGGGTGGGGGCGGGGGTCGTCCGTACGCTCACGAAGGGAGACAGGGCCAGGGAGGGGGGGACTGGAAGAGCTGATCCGTCAAACCACGGGTTTGTGGGATTGCGCTTGCGGCGATCTTTTTTTTTGCGACCCTACATATCAGTACGCTTTCCTAATGAGCCCCACTGAGTTTTATTCCGTTCCTGGCGCCTCCAGTTGCAGGGGTTGCTTTGAGCTCCCCCCCCTGAGTTCCACACTTTCGCTCGATGGAAGACCGCGCATCCTGACTCGGATGAATTGGTTGGCACCCCTGCCCTGGCCCGCTGCCATCGTCTCGCCGCCGTGGTCAACACCAATCACAACTACTGTCAGCATGGCGACTGGCGCTGCAACCGCCACCGCCACCATCATCAGCAGCACCACGACCAACACCGTCGATGCCGCCACCGCTGCCGCCAGCGGCACCAGTGCCAAAATCATCACCGCTGCCACCGAGAACGCCAATATCGCTAAACCAACCACTGTCACGACAACCGCAGCCGCCACCGCCGCCTCGCTGCCCGCCGCCACCGCCACCGCCACCGCCACCGCCAGGCCTGCCCCGCTCCCACTGGTGCCACACGGCCATGCCGTTTGCCTCTCACCTGCTTGTCATGCTGCTTGCCACCGTGCACCGCACCGCCAGCTCTTTGACGTGGACCGCTCGGGCATCCTGGATCGTGCGGAGGCGTGGCTCTTAGCCCGTGGGCGTCCATCGGCGATGGGCATCTCACCCTCGGGCCGCCGCAGATGGAAGCAGTGTTCACCTCGGAAGCATACCTCTTGAGAGTGGATCGCGCATGACTGGTTGGACTTGCCTGAGAGGATTCGACAGGGAGCCGGACGGGCGCCCGCCCACTCTCGAAGGCACCTCCGAGACTGTCCGAGCCGCAGGCTTGTTTCCAGGCCCCACTGCAAATAGAACTGGAGGTTGGGGGGTGAGATCGCAGTGAAACGGAGAACCCCAACTGGGAAATCGTTTCGTTTCGTTCGTGTCGTGCGTGCTGGCGAGGCGAAGCTGCATGGGCGCGCGAGAGGAATGAAACCGCCGCTGCTAGGGCGAATTCGAGAAAAAATTATGCTCCCCCGCCCGTCCGTTCGTCCGTCCGTCCGGCGGTGGCTCGTGGTGTCCCGTGGTGTCTCGTGGTGTCCCGTGGTGTCTCGTTGAGTGAGATCGATAGTGAGATCGATAGTGAGATCGATACTGAGATCGATACTGAGATCGGTAATGAGATCGATACTGAGATCGATATTGAGATCGATGTGGTGCCCCGAGGTGTCCCGTGGTGTCCCAAAAAGTGAGATCGATAGTGGGATCGACAGGTGTCCCGTTGTGTCCCGTTTGGTGAGATCGATAGTGAGATCGATATTGAGATCGATGTGGTGTCCCGAGGTGTCCCGTGGTGTCCTATGGTGTCCCGTTGAGTGAGATCGATAGTGAGATCAATAGTGAGACCGATCGTGAGATCGAGAGGTGTCCCGCGGTGCCCCGTGGTGTCCCGTGGTGGCCCGTGGTGTCCCGTGGTGTCCCGTTGAGTGAGATCGATAGTGAGATCGACAAGTGTCCCGCGGTGCCCCGTGGTGTCCCGTGGTGTCCCGTTGAGTGAGATCGGTAGTGAGATCGATTGAGTCAGATGTTGGTTCCCCCCCCTCTCCCCCCCCACAATCTCGTTATCACCCGAAGGGTGGTCGTATAGGTATTTGATCCTGGGCGCTCACCGGCCTCGCTCCCCTCCCCTTCCCAACTCGCTCTCCTTCCCCTCTCCTCGTCCTCCTCGTCTTCCTCGTCATCGTTCTCCAGCTCTTCTTCCTCATTCCCCCCCCGCCCCCCCCTCCCTGGACGGCCCCGCGGGTGAGCGGTCGTTTCAAACCCACATGGTGACGGCGCTTGTCCCGCGACGGCCTTCCACAGGGCGGAGCGGCACCTGGCGGGAGGGGGGACACATCGCAGGGGAAGGAGCAGGAGCAGCAGGAGGAGAAGGCAGCAGGAGAAACGGTTCGGAGAAGGAGGCCGGTGGAAGAGAAGGAGCAGGACGACGAAGGGGAAGTGGGGGAGGAAGGAACGAGGATAGCGGAGGACGAGGGAGCAGGAGGAGCAGGAGACCACGGAGGAGGATCCAAGAGTGTCTCGCTGCCGGTTCTCTCCTACCACGCGTCGACGCGACATGTTGACCACGTCCCAGTTCCGAAGCGTCAACGCTCCGAGCTGAGCTGGTCCTGGCTGCCTGCCCGCGGAGCGGAGCGACACGCTACCCGCTTGGAGAGCATAGCGTGTCGATGGGGCTGCCGCCGCGACAGGCTAAGCAAGCTATCCCGACCGTGGTGCAAGGTGCACCCTGAGTAACTTCGACGGTGCCTGTGAGCAAGCTGCGCGAGAGGCAGCTTGCGCTCGGCATGCACGTAGCAGAGCATCCAATGTTGCGGGGTGTGCAGTTTTGTTGTGCTGTTGGGCGCCGTTGCTGTCGTGCGTGTGGTCGCCCAGGTCGACGTCGCCAGGCTCGAGCCTGTCCTCGTAGCTGGGGCCACGATCCAGGCTGAACGAAGTGTTGATAGACACTTAGTGCCACGGGTGCGGCGCGATAATAACGTTGACCTTGCGCATCGGCGGGAATGAGAGAGTAGCCTGTGTCGCAGCGCTAGAGGCGCGCTGCAGACGCAGTCGCACGAGATGTGAGAATGCGGTTCTTGAGGATCAGTCTCCTCCGGTTGGCCTCAATGTTGCCGCCGTTCTCTTAGCGAAGGTTGGGCGCAGGGATAGGTTGTCCCTCGCTGATGCCGAGGACGAACAGGTTGATGATCTCCTCCGGACTGATCGTCGCTGGCGGCGAAGGTTCGTTGGCCGACGACATATTCTCCTAAGTCTCTTCGAGGCTGGCTTTGGGTGCACCGTTCTTGGTGCGACAGAGACAGCTCGCAGGGTAGATCAGGCAGTCGCAGTCCAATGGTTCGTTCTGCCGCAGGGAAGCGGTTTTGCCTCGAAGTCCATTGAGCCTTGTAGATCGGCATCGGCACTGGTGATGTGGACCTTGGTGGCCATCGGATGCCGGGATGTTGGCCCCCACTCCCGCATACGTGCAGGCAGGCCCACGTACTCAGGTTGCCCAGCTGGGGCGACGGCCGTTGACAGCTTGCATCGGGCCGTCTGTCGCGGTGGTCGTTGCGATAGCCGTTGAGGAGCGTGGCGGTCCTGATTCAGCCTTGGCGACGAGGGGTTGTGCCTCCGTCGACGAGCATCGGGGGTCACCTGGCACGGGGCATGGTGTCTTTTCCCCCTCTAGGTGTTTTCTCCCTCCAGGGGCTGGCGGTTCAGAGCAGATCGTACGGCAAGTCTGGCCTTGAACGGCGAGGTAGTTGGGAAGTCTAAGAACGTGCATCCCCGGAAGAGTCCGAGATGCTTTTCGTCGTCGTAGCAGTGGGTGCTTTTGAATCTCCACTGGTCTGCGGCGGGCGCTCCGCGGCCTTCTTGGGTTTTATTGTCTTCTCTGAGCGTCTCGATGTACGAGGGCAGCTTGTCCCAGCGCGGTTGACTTGATAGCTGTCCGCTGGGTCGCCACATCTCAAATTTGTTGAGCTTTGTTGGGGGAGATTCATGCCCGTGGTGGGCTTCCCTTCGCCATGCTAGGTCTCCGCTGGGCATTCGGGGTGGGTGCTCTTGAGGTTGACCTCGGCATGCTGCCAACCTTCTCCACCAGCAATCGAAGTACTTCCACTGGGCGCTTGACACCCACGCTGCATGGGATGCGGAACCAGTGGTGCTCGACCCTGTTGCCGTAGTTGTTGTCAAAAGGCGTCCTTCTGGCATCGATTGTTAGGTATTTGCTTTATATTTGCCCTTGGAGCCCCGCTGGCGAATGTTGCGCCCAACTCTCCCTCCCGCTCGTGCTGCTGCTGATCCTCCGCCTCCTCTTGCTCCCCTCGGCCCCACGCTTCTCGTGGATTCCTCCCGGCGTACACTCGGCCGGGCTAAGGTGGAGAGCATCTTCGAGAGTTTGTGCCTGCACAACATGACGAGGGAGGGCCGAGCGCAGCTGTGGAGCGGCGCTTCCCGCGCGGGAGGAGCGGTGAGGGATGGGGGGGGAAGGGGATCAGGAGGAATTGGGGGATGGGGCAGAAAATCCGAGCAGGGGATCGACTACAGAATTGATTTAGTGCGACACATCCCAGTAGATCCACGAGCATTCTACCAATGTCCCGACCAGAAAATGAAGTTTGGGGTGAAGCAGTTATGCAGTCGATCCCCTGCTCGATAAATAGCTGAAGACGATGAGCAGCAGCAGCAGCTCCGTCAGGTGCTCTCGTCGAGGCCGCAGCAGCCGGAGCCCAGGGTCAAGACTCAGAGGGTCTTTGCTCGGGCTCTTGGGGCCTCGCTGTCTCAGGTCGCTCTGCAGGCGACGTTCATTTGACGGCTTTCGTCTTGGGCCTCGAGACCTCCCTCTGCTCAGGCTCTTCAGGGAATCTCCTGGCCCCTCCGTCGTGGCAGATGTCCGCGCTCAAGACCTGGGGTGGGGGGTGGACGGCAGACGTGCGCAGTTGCTACAGCAGGCTGATACTGGTGACTGCGCATACGTGCGAGGAGCAGCAGCAGCAGCAGCAGGAAGGGGGCAGCAGGAGCCTCAGCAGCAGCAACGGAAGCTCAGGAGCTGGTGGATATGGAGGAGGAGGAGGAGGAGGAGGAGGATAACGAGGAGGAGGAGGAGGAGGAGGAGGAGAAGGAGGAGCAGCAATGAGGGCACGTTGTTGCCTAGCCTTTCGTTTGTAGTATCACCCAGCGGTGATTCACTTGCGCTTGGGATCGAAGGTGCCTCCAACGAATCACCGCCGCCCCCTGTCTTATGTAATCGCTTGTGTGGTGGAATATTGAGCATCGTCGCGGCAATGCTAGTGATTTGATGATCCCTGAGACGTCAAGGAACCACGGGGGGAACTTGCGGAAGGGGCCCTCTTGGGGGGCTGATGTGGGTTGCTTTGGGCTTGCTCAGGGCCTCTCTGAAGAGAGCTCTCTCTGGCCATCTCGGGGCTCTCTGAAACTCTAGAGCCGTACTAAAGCGCTCTTAATCCGTCTGGCGCCTTCGGAGGCAAATTGGTATACCTCTCTACTCCATCTTGGGGCCTTCTTGAGGCTTCAAAGGAACGACTTGCGAGTCTCTTCTGTCGTCTTGGGGATCTCTTTGGCCGTCTTGGACCCTCTTGGGGTCCTCTTGAGTTATTTCGATGCCCTCTTTGGCTGTCTTCGGGCACTCGTGGAGCCTGCTTGGGCTGACGTAGGGCGATATTGCAGGTCTACCTGGGCCGCCTTGGGCGTTCTGGCTCCCGAACAGGCGAGTCAGCGAACATGTGTCAAACTATTCGCGCAAGCTTAATAATTTGGGCCTCGTCGGGGCCACCGGGAGCCCTCGTGAGGCGTACTGGGGTGGTGGAGGTTTTTATGGCCGTCTTGAGGTGATCTTGGCCCGTCTTGGGGCCATCTTGGGACGTCTCGGGGGCGTTCTTGACCAGCTTGCGGCTCCTCCCACCCTCTCAAGCCATATTGGAAGCCATCTGGGCCGTCTTGGAGGCCGTCTTGGGAGCCATCTTGCACAATCGCGGCCGTCTTGGAGGCAGATTGTGAAGGCCTTACGGCCAGTGCCGTCGACCCTGAGGGGAGACGACGACGACAATGGCGGCGGCGGCAGCGATGACGACGACGCTGACGTGGGCCAGAGTCCTCACGGATGCTTCTTGGGGTGGGGTCCCTTTGGACGGCTCTCGGTGGCTGGGGATGAATTTGGGGGCGTCGTGGGAGCCTCTTTGGGGCCTCTTCGGGCTTCCTGGGGACCTCTTGTGGGCCTCTCGGGGGGCCTCTTGGGAGCCTCTCGGGGCCTCCTGGGAACCTCTCGGGGCCGAGGGCTCGAAATGTCCGTTCGCATCCCCCATCTGGGCACGCTCTTGGGAGCCGTCTTTTGAAGGCCTCTTGGGCCGTCTTGAAGGCGTTGTGGGCTGTCTTGGGGTCCTCTTGGGCTGTTTTGGGGCCCTCTTGGAGGCCTCGTGGGCCGCCTTGGGGCGATCTTTGGGGCCCGTGCGCCGTCTTGAAGCGGCGGGGAGTGGAAAAGGCGAGAACGCCCAAATCTTTAATTTGCTTGGCGAAGGACCCAACCATTTGCAGTTGTGAGCACCGTCGTTGCATGCACCGCATTCGGAGGAGCTCCCTATCGGGCCACGAAACGTTTGAGGAGTGTGCCAAAATTTGTCTGGTGGGCGCATGCGAAAGCAGCCACTGGGGCTGTCGGTGGAATCCCCTATGGGGCCACGAAGCGAGGTGTGCCGAAATAGGTGCGGTGGGCGCATGCGAAGACAGCCATTGGGGCCGTCGGTGGAGCTCGCTATGGTGCCGCGAAATGTGAAATGGGTGTGCCGAAATGGGTCCGGCGGGCGCATGCGAACGCAGCCACTGGCGCCTTCGGTGGAGCTCCCTGTGGGGCCACGAACCGTGTGAGGGTTGTGCTGGAATTGGCGTGCGTGACGCATGCGGGCGGTGGCCTTGGCTCCTTCGGTGGAGCTCCCTGTGGGGCCACGAAACGTGTGATAGGTGTGCCGGATTTGGTGTGTGTGTGTGACGTTGTGAGGAGAGCCGCATTGGGTGAGCGTGGCGCATGCGGGCGGTGGCACTGGCTGGGGCCTTCGGTGGAGCTCCCTGTCGGGCCACGAAACGTGTGAGGGGTGTGCCATACTGGGAGTGCGTGACGCATGCGGGCGGTGGCACTGGGGCCTTCGGTGGAGCTCCCTGTGGGGCCACGAAACGTGTAAGGGGTTGGCCGAATTGGGTGTGCGTGACGCATGCGGGCGGTGGCACTGAGGCCTTCGGTGGAACTCCTTTTGGGGCCACGAAACGTGTGAGCGGTATGCCGGAATGGGTGTGCGTGACGCATGCGGGCGGTGGCACAGGGGCGTTCGGTGGAGCTCCGTGTGGGGCCACGAAAAGTGTGAGGGGTGTGCCAGATGGGGTGTACGTGGCGTTGTGAAGAGAGCCGAATTGGGTGTTCGTGACGCATGCGGGCGATGGCACTGGGGCCTTCGGTGGAGCTCCCTGTCGGTCCACGAAAAGTGTGAGTGGTGTGCCGAAGTCTGTGTGCGTGACGCATGTGGGCGGTGGCGCTGGGGTCTTCGTTGGAGCTCCATATGGGGCCACGAAGCGTGTGATAGGTGTGCTGATCTGGGTGTGCGTGACCCAGGCGGGCGGTGGCACTGGGGCCTTCGGTGGAGCTATCCATGGGGCCATGAAACGTGTGAGGGGTGTGCCGAACTGGGCATGCGGGCGGTAGCACTGGGGCCTTCGGTGTAGCTCCCTGTGGGGCCACGAAAGGTGTGAGAGGTGTGCCGAAATGAGTGTGCGTGACGCATGCGGGCGGTGGCACTGGGGCTTCCGGTGGAGCTCCATAAGGGGCCACGGGCCGTGTGGGGAGAGCCGAATTGGGTGTGCGTGACGCATGCGGGCGGTGGCACAGGGGCGTTCGGTGGAGCTCCCTGTCGGGCCACGAAACGTGTGAGAGGTGTGCTGAATTGGGTGTGCGTGACGCAAGCGGGCCGTGGCACTGGGGCCTTCGGTGGAGTCCCCTCATTGTGCCACGAAACGTGTGAGGGGTGTACCGAAATGCGTGTGCGTGACACAGGCGGGCGGTAGCACTGGGGCCGTCGATGGAGCTCCCTGTGGGGCCACGAAACGATGTACTGGGTGGGTGAAACGCAGGGAGAAGGAAGGAGGGGAAGAGGAGGAGGGAGGAGGAAGGAAGGAGGGAAGGAAGGAGGGAACGCGGGGACCGTCTTTTCAAAACGAGGACCTAACACCACAGGATGGTTGGGAAAAACAGCCGGGGGAAAACAATGAATTTGGCCTCTTGGGGCCCACTCGGGAGTGCTCTTGGAGGCTTACTGGGGCATCCTGGAGGCCCCCTGCGCACTCTGGAGGTCGTGAAAGCGTTTTAGACCGATCGTTTGGCGATTAAAGACCCTCTTGGACCGTTTCGAGGGCCTCTTGGAGTACTATTGGACTTTTTTGGCACTTCCTGGTGCCCTGGGATCCCCAGGGAGGGAAGCGTATCTGACCTCTTCCCCAGGACCACCCCCAGGACCCCCCTAGCGACCTCAAAGGGAAGGGGCTTCCCTTCGACTCGACTACGACATTGCTAGATTATTCTCTCGCTGACAAGCTTGAGCAGGAGGGTGCAGGGACATGTGACGACGGAGACGACGATTGACGGAGACGACGACTCGAACAGACAAGCCCTTCACGCACGCCGACAGGGTCGGCTGATTTTCTGGGCATAGAAGTGCATGTGGTCGTGGTGCAGCTTTTGGGATGCCTCGCGGGTGGAGACCATCTGTGTGGCCCTGTTCCGGCCTGTTCGCTTGTCTTAGGGGCTTCATAGAGCTCTCTCGGGTAATATGTGCGCTCTTTGGGGCCATCTGAGAGCGCTCTTGGGCCGTCTGGCGGCTCCGGAGGCTGTATTGAGACCTATCGGGCCGTCCCGGGGCATTCTTGGGGACAGTTTCGGCCCTCTCGAGGTGATCTTGGGGGCCTTCCGGGCGGTCTTGGACGGTTCTGCGACAGGAATGCAGGAGAGTTTCTAGAGGCATTCCTAGAAGATCTGTTGGAGTCTTCCTGGGGCGTCGTGGGGGACCCTTGGCGGCTTCTGGGGCCGTCTTGAGGACGTCCGGGGCTGTATTGGAGCCCTCTTGGGGCCATCTTTGGGCCCTATTGGGACCATTTTGGGCCATCCTGGGACAGTATCGGGATCTGCTTGGGCCGTCTTGGGCGTTCTGAGTCACGAACAGGCAAGTACACGAACATCTGTCGAACACCTGTGCGAACCGAGTGTTTCTCGCGTCTGGGGATCCTCTTGGGAGTCCAATTCAAGCCCTCTTGGAGAGTATTGGCAGCCTGTTGGGCTGTCGTGAGACCATCGTCGGCCGTCTTGGAGTTCTGGTCGTCCTGGAGCCCTCTTGTGCCATCTTGGAGCCCTCTTGGAACCCTCTGTGGCCGTTTTAGATGCTTCCCAGATTTTTGGGGAAAGCCACGGCCCAAGCCCCGAGAGCGCCAAGAAGCGCCCAGGGATTCCGTAAAGTAGGACTTAGAGAGCACGCGCGGTGTTCAAGATTTGGAGCTCAAGAGCCTCGCCGCACGGCGCTGGATTCACACGGGGCGCTTGGCTTCGCGTGCGTCAGATTCATGGACGGCGTTTTCGTCGTTGCACTACTCGTTCTGCAATCGCCCTTTCGTTCCGTCGTCGTTGCAGTCGAACTCCCGTTCAATGCAATGTGTCGACCGCGCTCTCCCCGGAACAAAGGGTATTTACGCCACGTCGTCTATGTTCGAGCAGTGCTCCGCGCCGCCCCGCAGTTTTCAGCAGCGCCGTCAGCGCGGCCACGGACTCAGGGTCGGAGGGTATTGCCTTCGAGGGCTTCGAGACGCTCATGATGGAGATGCAGGACACGTGGGACTTCTGGAGGGTTTCTCCGAAGGGCTTAGGCGACCCGTCCTCCGCCTCCTCCTCCTCCTCCTCCATCTCCTTCTCTCCCTCCCCCTCCTCCATCTCCTCCTCTCCCTCCCCCTCCTCCACCTCCTCCTCCTCCTCCTCGGGCCGCCTACGGCCCCGGGGGAAAACGTGCAGACACGTGGGGCTTCTTTGCACCTCGCGCAAGCGTGCTGTCTACGCCGGGCACAGACTATGCGCCACCCCAGCAGGACGCGCCGTCTTCGTTTCGATCAGAGGGGCCACTCTGAAGGTACGAGTGGGCCGCCCGAGCCTCGCACCAATGAGCACCTGAAGCCGATCGAGTTTCGTACGCTCGTTGTGCCGCCGTGTGGTGATAACGTGCAGAAGGGCAGGGTTTCTTCGGCCCGAATGGGCCTCTGGGGATTTCAGAAAATAGAGGCGGTGTCCCCGCGGAGGTTGTCTCCTCACGAGAAGGAGCCTTCAGAAGACCCCTAAACTAAGGAAACCTATTTTGGGGAATGATATTCACAACGTGTTGGGGCGATGTTGTTTGTCAGCGTTGCGGTGGTTTGCAGCGGCTCCGAAACGGGAACTTGGTATTATTTAAAGGCTGCCGCCTCTGCCGCCGACCCCAAGACAATGGATGTATCGTTGGTGCGCTCCGTCGGTGGGTGGTGAGGGGGCCTCATTGCACTGGGGTCATCTTGGAGCCATCTTGAGGTGTCAACCGCCCGTCTTCATGCGATCTTGGAGTCTTTCGCATGCATGTCGGTAGGTATCCTGAGCCATGTTGTGCTTCGTGAGCCATCATGGAGGTCCTCCTGGAGCCATCTGGGGTCCTTGTGGGCGCACCAATCCCTCGCGAAACGCGCCGAAGGGGTGAATTCGCCCTCGACGGGGAAGCGGGCGGTTGGGGCCTCGTTGGGATTCTCCTTTTTTTTCTGGGCCTTGACGGGGTCGGTTCGGGAGACAATCGATCAGAGAAAAGGCTGGGCTCCTGTACGCAATAATCGTCGCACGCAGGTGTGAAAATCAACGATTTTTACTTAACAGCTTTTGCTGATAGGTTTCTAGTGGTTTCAAAAGAGAGCATCTTGACGCCCCAGGGGGTCTGGGCGGGATCCGGACAAGGAACCAAACGGATTCTTCAGCCCCAGGATCCTTAGGAAGTCTTAGGAATCCTTAGGAATCCATTCCCAGGCCACATTTTGAATGCCCGGAGCCAGCTGTAGGCCACTTCGTGTTTTTCGTGGTCCCACAACACCACTCCGAGGCCACATTTTGAATGCCCGGAGCCAAGTGTAGGCCACTTCGTGATCTTCGTGTTCCCAGAAAACACAAGTCCTGTGCCATAGCTTGAATGCCCGAGCCAAGGCAGGCTGAGGCCGAGGCAGACTGAGGCCGAGGCAGGCTGAGGCTGAGACTGAGGCACGCCGAGGCAGGCTGAGGCTGAGGCTGAGGCTGAAGCAGGCTAAGGTTGAGGCAGGCTGAGGCTGAGGCTGACGCAGGCTGAGGCCGAGGCAGGCTGAGGCTGAGGCTGAGGCAGGCTGAGGCTGAGGCAGGCTGAGGCTGAGGCAGCCTGAGACTGAGGCTGAGGCTGAGGCTGAGGCTGATGCAGGCTGAGGCTGAGGGGCTGACGCTGAGGCTGAGGCAGCCTGAGGCTGAGGCCGAGGCAGGCTGAGGCTGAGGCAAGCCGAGGCAGGCTGAGGGTGAAGCTGAGGCAGGCTGAGGCTGAGGCTGAGGCTGTGGTTGAGGCTGAGGCAAGCTGCGGCTGAGGCAGGCTGAGGCTGAGGCTGATGTAGGCTGAGGCTGAGGCAGGCTGAGGCTGAGGCAGGCTGGGGCTGAGGCCGAGGCAGGCTGAGGCTGAGGCCGAGGCAGGCTGAGGCTGAGGCCGATGCTGAGGCAGGCTGAGGCTGAGACAGGCTGAGGCTGAGGCTGAGGCAGGCTGAGGCCGAGGCAGGCTGAGGCTGAGACTGGGGCCGAGGTTGAGGATGAGGCCGAGGCAGGCCGAAGCTGAGACAAGGTGAGGCTGATGGGGGGGGGGGGGGGGGGGCTGAGGCAGGTTGAGACCGAGGCAGGCTGAGGCCGAGGCAGGCAGGCTGAGGCTGAGGCCGAGGCCGAGGCAGGCTGAGGCTGAGGCTGAGGCAGCCTGAGGCTGAGGCAGGCTGAGGCTGAGGCTGACGCAGGCTGAGGCCGAGGCAGGCTGAGGCTGCGGCTTTGGCAGGCTGAGGCCGAGGCAGGCTGAGGCTTAGGCTGAGGCGAGCCGAGACAGGCTGAGGCTGAGGCTGAAACTGAAGCAGGCTGAGGCATCCGTAGGAATCCATAGGAACCCGTAGGATCCCCAAGGAATCCTTAGGAATCCGTAGGCATCGTCAGGAATCCGTAGGCACCACTAAGCATCCTCAGGATTCCTATGGATTCCCAATGAAGCCTAAGGATGCCTTAGGACTCCTTAGGAATCCTTAGGATTCCATGGGATCCGCCACGCGTGGCCCTCCGCGCACGCGCACACGCGCGCGCGCACGTGCACGCACACGCACACGCACACGCACACGCACACGCACACGCACACGCACACGCACACGCACACGCACACGCACGCGCACGCGCACGCGCACGCGCACGCACGCACGCACGCACGCACGCACGCGCACGCACGCACGCACGCACGCACGCACACACACACACACACACACACACACACACACACACACACACACACACACACACACACACACACACACACACACACACAAACACATACGCGGTGGCCCATCCCCGCGCGACCTCCACGCGCCCTCCCATTATACACCCCACCCGCGAGGGCTTCCTGTGGGGGCCCGCTCCCGCGTGGCCTCCACGCGGCGGCCCTCTCCAATGCGACCTCCACGCGGGCCGCCCCCCCCCCCCCCCCTCCCCGCGTGACGCCCATGCGAGGGCATCTCCCCAAGTCGAGGTGTTGGGCAGAGGGCTTCTTGAAACCAACCGCCGTTCCGTCTTATTGGAATAAGACGAATTGTTTACGATTTCCAGTTTTGGGTCTGGCCGGGCACGATCGCCCGGTTGCCTTGTTTTCGTTGATCGCAGACGTTGCCAAGACCAGTAACCGCACCGCGTGGCCATCGCGCTCGGTGGCCACGGATCCCGCGCACGACTGACCGTGTTGCGCTGAAGGGATCGCGCACCTCCGTGTGCGACGCAATGAGCTGGCGCCGGCCAGCCCTCGACAAATTCTTTGACAATGCCACGTTGATGCCCGCAGATGTTTCGTCGGCAATCCAGCCCCGCTCGGTTGCTGCCAGCGCAGCGTTCAGTGAAGTGGGCGCGCCTGAAATCGCAGACCACATCATCATTCAAATTGCCGGCGATTTCCTCGGTTACCTGTCCGCTTTTGAGGCGTCCGACAATCGGGCCGACGTCCGTCGCGCGTCAGCCGGTCGAGCCGTTCGCCCAGTCATTGGCGTCTCGCCTGCGTGGGCATTCGACTGCAACTATCGGTGCCACGTGAAGCCCACAGAGCTTCCAGTTTCACCGACGCATTGTGTCGGTGACATCATGGGCACCGCCGAAGACAAGCACCGAGCCGCGCTTGGCGGCCGCCCATGGAGCAACGATCGGCCGCGCAAGGCCATGCCGCCCAGCAAGCCAGCGCTGAAGGCGCGGTGCTACAAGTGCAAGAAGACGCGCGACATTCAAACTGCCGGTTGTAACACAGATGGCGGCAGGTGCATAGCGCGGCCCGACGGCCCAGCATATGGGATTCGCTGGCAAGAGCGCCAAGACATTCTATGTCTGGGTAGCGTTAGCCCGGGCTTTAGCCACCCCATCCAGTGCTGCACGAGAACGTCGAGCAGTTTGGCAAGGATGAGATCGAGGAGCTGTTTCAGGTCATGTGCGTCGTATTCTACATGGCGTCATGCCCGTTCGTGCTTGGGGCGGGCCTCTTCCCGCTTGCGGCAATGCTGCGGCCTCGCGAAGAAAGCTCGGATCCGGTCAGTCCCCGGCGACTCTGAGTTGGTGCCAGGGGCCAAGGAGATGTTGAGCCCCACCCGCGCCATCGACCCGTTGAGTCGTTCAAGCGCTCGTTCGATTTCCAGATGCGTTCGACGCGGTCCTCGGGCGCACTTGCGATTTCAAGCTCGATCGCTACTTTGTCGCCGGCGAGCGCGATCTCCGCCTGGGTCGCACGTGGGTTGGCAGGAGGAGGGAGCTGGTGCAGGACAATTGCCTCTCCTGGCCCCCACCTATTCCTCCTCTTCATCCTCCACCTCCTCGATGCCCTCATCGCCCCCTTCGCCCTCCTTTCGCCTCCTCCTCGGGAACGGCGTCAGAAGATCCTGGGCGGCGCTGGCTCTTCCTGCGGCGATTGCGGCACGTTCGCGGGCCTGCTCATCTTGGCGGAGAGGCGTCGCGCTCGCAAGTGCATCGCGAGATGGCCCAACGAGACATTCGACCATGACCAGAACCTTGGCAAACGAACGACGCAGAGTGCAGACGGTCGGCTGCGCACCATAATCCGCAGTTGCGGCATTCAGTTCGCCTTCAAGGGGGTCCAACCTGGGGGTGGGTGGGTGACTCCTTCCGATCTGTGGGCGTTCATGGGTTTCCCCGTCGCTGCAGCCCACGAGGCGCGCGCCATGGCGCGCGTTGCCAGTTTTCTCGCGTTTGCGATGTGGCCCCGCGTCGCGACCGCCGCGGCCAGGCCTCGCAGAACCGCCAGGTCGGGAACGCCATGCGCGTTAACTTTCTTGGCGGCGCGAAGCTGCTCTGCTATCCATTCTGCCCATTCCTGGGGGCCGTTCGCCCCCCACCTGCCCGGCCCAATGCCCGCGCCAACAAGCGCTTGGCAGCAGATGGGCAGGGCCAGGGGCCAATCGGTGATTTCGCGCAAATTTGAGACCGCGGCGAAGAGGCATTGCGGTGGCAGGGGCGATTAGACCATCCGCCGACACGCTGCCCCGCGCGCAGAACGCGCTGGCCGCGAGCCCGGAG